TGGAAAAATACTACATGACCAAATGTTACAAAAGATTATCTTGCAATATACAATACAGTACTGAAAAAAGGTTTGTGAACCCCCTAGGCTGGTCCATATTCTCATTTAAATGTAATTAGATAATCATAAATAATAAAATAACAATATTTTAATAAAAGAATAAGAAGAAAAATTTAACACAAAGAAATATTTTGATTATTAAAAAAAAACTATATTCTTCTTTCTTCTTAGCCTATTCTTCTTTAAAGAACTGCTTCAAGTTGGTGACATTTGAGGACTTCCTTGCATGAACAGCTCGCTTTAGATACTGCCATAACATTTCTATGAGGTTCAGGTCAATATGGCAATATGTCCCATTCCTGAGGCAGCAGCTCCAAACCATGGTACTCCTAATATTATGCTGGACTGTTTGGATGAAGTTCCTTTGATAGACGGCAGTATTTGTTTTTTGCCACACATTTTTCTCATTGTTGCGAAGAAGATAATTTTCTTCTGTTAGTTCCAGCGGATCATCCAGGTGCTCTTTGATAAACTTAAGATGGAATGCAATATGTTTTTAGAGAGCAATGGTTTCCTTCCGATATCCTCCCATGAAAACCATTTCTGTAAAGTCTTTTCCTGATGGTTTAAGTATGAACACTTAGTAAGCATGTTAATCCTTAGATTTTACTCTGGGGTTCATGGTAATTTTCTGGAATGTTTTCCAGTTTGATTAAAGGAAGATATTGTCAGGATAAACAATTCTGGCTAGAATCCCCATGTTCTTAAATATGTATTTCTTATTTATTATCCATTTGTAGACAGACATTTGTATTTTGTAACCTTCTCAACATTGGTGAGCATCAATTATTCTATTTTCCATTTTCTAAGGTACTCTGAATTTTCTTTTGAATTTTGGCATGTCCTGTCTCCACTAACTTGTATGGTAAAGACCAAACTCACAAGGTTTCAGACCATTTTATAGGACATGGCTGAGAAAGCTCAGTCACTGTTTACCTACTACCCAATGAATCACCTGATTCTAATTACCCCTTTAATTGTCAAATTAAACTACAAATTCACTAATTATTTCACATAAAATGATTCTGATTCATTCATTTTCTCTACTTCATACACCACTGCATCTAAAAAAGCATCGAATTTGTAAATATAAATCTTTTTAGTTATTTAAAAAAAACAAATGATTAAGAGTACTGTGGTAAGGACTTGCATTTTCCATAATTACATTGAGAGTTCACAGAACTTTTCTGATTGTGTTTCCTCTTTTATGTACAGATGCAGCCATTCAAAATGGGTGGGGTATTTCGCGGTATACCCCGGTGGGCGTGTCGCATCAAAATGCAGTATCACGCAGTATATCGAATCATTTGACATCATGCCGGAAAGTATCCGGAATCACCTTGTAAAACCGCCAGGAGGAGCCAATAAAGCTTAACCTCTCATGTACAGCATTTGAGCTTTTAAATTTAACTGTGTATTACAGCAAGTTAATAATCAGTCATTAAAAAGTTGGTATATTTTATGAAAGCAAGATTGTTCAGC